GGGAATAAAAACCAAAGAGAGAGAGAGCTTGAAAGCTTTCCCTGGTGTGTAAGGTATGTAAAGAGGCTGTGATTTAACCCAACAGGAGAGATGGAGTTTTATGGTATGAGTGAGTTGAAGGATGTGAAAGAAGGTCAGAATTTACGCTGTGAAACAAGCAAGTGAAACGAACAGAGAGACAAAATGCCTCCCCTTTCACCTCATCTATCGCTCAATAAATTGGACTCAGTCTCCCAAGCGATGTTTGGTATCTGATTATGAGGAGGTGTAAGCAACAGAGCTGACAGCTAACACATAGTATCAATGAGACTCTTCCACTCTCTCAAACTCATTCACCCCACTATTTTCTTGCTCTTTTCCTCGCTCTGTTCATTTCTTTCACTATTTCTATCATTCTCTATCATTGATGGCTCACTGCTGGCAGGGTTCTGAGTTGATGATGTAATGTCAGGCAAACAAAATACTCAAGACTTGAGACCTATATTGATAATCCCACTTTGTTATCTTCTTATGCAAGATTGTTTTATGTGAGAGACTCATCCACATATCCATGTTAATAGCTTCAGAGGTGTCAGGTTTGCTTGGCCGCTCTGGCCTCCCTCACCTTTCCTACTGTCTCTAATATCCAACAATTTCCCCCTTTTGATCTCGTTCACCTGTTTCTCACTCCCTTATCACCAGCTGCACTTGATTAGGTTGCTCACTATATTACCAGGTTTCACTCCTCAGTCACTTGCCAGTTCGTTCTAGTCTCTAGGCCATTTTTTCTCCGTGCTCTTTCGTTGTTTTGTATGTATTTATCCCCTAGCTAGCTACTGTTTTGTGTTCTCCCCATGGACTGTTCCTCCGGACCGTGGCTCCACTCTCCCGTTGGTCAAACACCCGGCTACTACTCATCTACAGGACTACGCACTATTTCCCTCTGTGCATTTTGTTATTTCTCCTCATCACTGTACATAATAAATCACTGCTTGCATCGAAGTTGGCTACCTGGGTCCACCTCTTTCTCGTTCGCTCACTGACAGGTGCGAACGGCACATAACAAGAGGTAAGATAATACACACCAGTGATTGTGATAGGTAATGAAAATAATACGTTAAATCATCTTATGAAGTCTCTCTTTAAAAAAAAGGTGGGGGGGGGGAGTACACTTAAACCTCATTTCTATAATTTAAAGATAGAGCATGGGCCACACATCTGGTACTGTGAGATCCTTAGAGATGTCCACTCACACCCACTTTACACTGCTGCCAAGCCTTGTGTGAACATCTCCTCTCTGGCAGGCACTAACAAGCAGCGTGCACCTGAACAAGCACACACCAGAATTATTTCTTCCCACAAGACATCACACTCATACACAGTTAACTTGGCTACATGAAGGCTCCCTGCAGTGTCTGTATTTATTTATTTATTATTTATCCACATTTATTGGATGTTGTCATAGTGTTTACTGTGTAATGACTACTTTTTAGGCTACACTGTGCTTTACATAATATTCCTCGTTTTCAAATATTTTATCATCTTCAATCAGAGCACAGCCAAACAATCCAACACCTGACACAGTAGATTCTCTTGTGCATTAGATATGCTGTACACACAGCCATCTCTGTATTTAATTTACTGCACCACTCTATTAATTTACACACTATTTATTCCCTTGTTAAACTGCTACTGCACTTTTAGCATTTAATAAGTGACCTGTATGTATCCATCACACAGGACATTTGATCCACGCTCTAGTTTAGCTGTTTACTTTGTTTCATTTTTTAAAATGCGTATTCATGTGTTGTGTTTTGGCACTACATGTTAGAACCAAGTGAAAACCAGACTACTATTCTTGTGCAATATTTGGCCAACAGTTAGTCTTGGTGGATCACACCAAAGGTCATCTGTAGCTAATATTATAACCATGTAACCAAATGACTGTTGCACTGCCAAACATGACAAGGTTCTCTGGCTCCACCTGATGGAGATTTTAGGGTATTGCACTCTCTCACTAAAGGTACAGCTGTTGACAATCTTTTCAGTACCACGTATATCATAAAATAAAGGTTCTGCAGCTGTGCACCACATCCTTCTAAATTTCTTCCCAGATCAATATAGAATAAAATCATTTAAAATGGAGCAACTGTCACAGGACAGAATTTTACTGACTAAATCCGTGGTGCTACTATTCTCAGACCTTTTCTGGAACATTTGACTGTCTTACCATCGTCACAAAAAATTCAGCAAAATGTGCTGTGATAATGGAAAACCCTGACCTCTGTGGTACTGTGGGTACCAAAGCCAACAGTTTCATTATACAAAGCCACTCCAGCATGTTTCATGTTAAATCAGTAACTCTGACAGTCCAACCAAATGTAATCATTAAGGACCAGTGTCCTGTACAATGCAAGAACCACATAACCCAAACTACAAGGCCATCTAGGTTTGCAGTGCAATCCCTCTAGTGTATACTGACTCTGCACTGTAATGAGTCCACCCTCTTTATGCCCCTTGTCTAGTGAGACCAGAATAGATTAGGACTTTTTTGGATATGGTCATAATGTTAAATTTGCTTTAACTCCCAAAAAAGAGAACACAGCTTAGATACCAGTAACAGTCATGCTACCTTTTTTCTATAAAGCAAACTTTTCCCTAGTATGATCAACCACATGCATTAGAACCAAAATATCATCAAATCAAAATATACATATTATAAATCTGTCCATGTTTATTGCAATATTTAAATATGAAGTCTTGTGCAATGTCTTGTTGTGTTTGTGTCACAAAAATTCATCTTTAAAAAGAAAAGAATGTGGAAGAAATTAGATAAAATTAAAATTACACACAAAAACATACGTGGCACAACGTAAAATAATCGTGACCATTCATAAGAATATTGTCCTGTTTTCCTGGTGGAAACAAAAGGGACCTTCCTGGATTTCTGTAACTTGTAGTCTCTGTGTTGTGTCACAAAATATTAGAAAAAAAATCTCCCCAAAAAATAAAAATCAGTATCTGTATTTTGTAGAATAATCCTTCGGGGACACCACCAGACCTCTTCCTTTTCTTGCTCCTCGGTACACTGTTTCAATAATGTCTATCATCTCCTGCTTGTCTTCCATTGTCCAGTTGATCTTGTTGTTGTTACCAGTGCCCAAATCAATCATAATGTGCTTGTTCCTAAGGAAACCCCAAAACAATATTAGGACCTTATACAGTAACAGTAACTAATAATGTTAACAATATTTACACAGCCACTGTGCAGTCCAGACACCAAGTGTCTCACCTGAAAAAGAACATTACGGTGCAGGGGTCGTACAGCTCGTACATCTTGTTGAAGTCAGGCACTTCTGTGATGTCCACCAAGTAAATGACAGCAAAATTCTTTACCTGTTAGGATGCAAACAAGTACAATATTTTTTTTACAGCAGTAAGTCGTATAAACAGCAAAACGCATTCAACAGAACAGTCTGTTCTGTTTATGTTCTCTCTATGTACAGCTTTTGCTCCCGTGTCACAGAAGCCCAGCAGGTGATGCTAATGAGCACGATTTAGATTCCATGGGTAGCTAATGCTAATGGCACAACACACGGTTTGTAGGATGGAAAAGAAACAAATCAAACCTTTTCAGCGATGCTGTACAGAACTTCGTCCATTTTCATGCATGTTGGGTCCCAGTCGTGTCCGAAGCGGATTACAAGGACTCGGTCCTCCTCAGACAGGATGGCTTGGTCAACTTGCCAGCCATTATGAAGATGTGGTAGCATATAAGACATCCTGCTCCTGAGCTGTAGGTTCCTAAGTCAAAAAAACGACACAATTTACTTTAGCCTTAATTGCATACCGTCAAAGGCAGTGAGATTGAGGTTTAAGTTAATGTTAACATCCAGCAAGACCAGGATTTCTTGTTAGCTGTTAGTGTTAACCTCGAAATGTATAGGTACCATGCTGATACTAACTGGACATTAGCTAGTCAAGGAAAAGTCTGAAAATGGAAACAACCTTAACTGTTACGAATTTACGATATATGCAGAACCACCTACCTAAAACACTAATGAAGATGTATTATATAGCAAATAAGTGCTCTGCGTTTTAACTTAATTTATTATTTCCAATACAAAGCAAAGCCTTAGCTGCTGTTGTGTACGTTTTCGTTAGTGAAACGTTAGGGTCTGCTGCTGCTCCTTCTCGTTTTCTGTCGTATTGGGAAGTTGCATACCGCCACCTACTGCATCGGAGTAGATAGTCAGCCTTAAAATATTCTATATCCTATTTACTAATAATGCCTCCACAGTGAAACAGATTAATCCTCTTCTGATTGCCTGGAATACTTGCTCTGTACCCAACAGTGATTTTACTCTACTCCTGTCCTGGTTAAGCAGAAATCCCTGAGCATCCTCTCAGAATTACATTTAGAACAATCCATAATAATGTGCTCAACATCTTCAGGAATGCTGCACTACTGACAAAGATTTGAATGACTTTTTCTCATTAAATATAATATCGGTAGGTCAAATGATGATGTAAAAAAAGCTCTGCAGGTCCATCCACATCAAGCAGCAGCACCTGGACCCAGACTTGCACCATGCATCAGGCAGGACTGAAGAGAAAGGCAGCTGCTGCTGATTTCATTTCTTCTTGACAATCATTATCATATGTTGTACACTCATACATACATTTAGACTGGGGGATGATTTTAGTTGGTATATAGATATATATACATATATATAATAATTATACAGGAAAGACACACAAAGACAAACAAGTTATCGTTGCACAATTTAAAAAATGTATTGTGCAGTTCATTACAGTATATATACAGAGGACAGTAAGCACAAGTTCAAAGGTTATAAGAAAACTTTCCAGTCTATGGCATAGCAGCATATTATGGCACTCCTTAAAGAATATGAATCACCATTAGATATGACTGAAGTTAGTTTTAATTCCACCACTAAACTGCATGATCACATTACTACAACTCTAAATGGCCAAGTGATTAATAAAGTTTGACTCTTTTACATTAAACTATTTGGTCTAGGACACATTAAAGCTTAACAAACAATAGTGACAGCAAATTTTACAGTAAAAATAAGCTCTGTATCCTAACATCAACACTATCAACAGTATCATCAACACTACTCATCGCTTAAAGCTGATTTTTATTCATTATGGCAGTTTTTTATTTTACATTGCACAACATCAGCCTTCAGCTCTCTGAGTAGGTTTTGAACAGGTCACTGCTGAAAATAGATGTTACTCTTCCATTGTATTTGTTACACAAATCTTCTTTAGAAAACCACACCCTGTTCAGCCACTTTAGGACAGCAGGTAGCATAAGCAACATTCACATCATTTCTGGAGACAAAATGCCTCCTCCAATGGTGTACTGAACATCCCACTATATCTGGAGAAACATGTCCAAAAATCCATCTCTGTTCCTTAAGGCAATATGAAAAATCTTGCACACAGTAATCCCTGAGGTGAATTGATGCTCAGCAGGAAAAAAATGCGTTCAGGGCACATAGTTGACCACAGTCATGTATAGCTGAATGAAGCTGAGCTCTTGCTGCTCCTAGTCGGCGGGATGTTCCGGACATGAGCGATTCACCTCAAACCATTCATCTATACACCTGAGGAGGATGATGTGGAAGTTTATCTTGAGAATGAAAAAAGCTGGTTTGCATTTAGCTCTACACATCACAATAAATTGTTTTGGTAAATAAATTGTTATTTTTAACAAATGTCTTGCTATGGTTGTCACTTTCCATTTGAATAATTAGGAATAACAGTTGAGGAAAATCCCACTTTTTATTAGAAAGCATCAAAACAGTTCCATACATATACTAAAATTCCAGATAAATGATAAAGAACAAACTATTTAAATACTGCCAGACAGACCTGTTTTACTCTAGCTCCCTTTCTTGCTGAGAGGTAGATGAGAAGATTGATACCACTCTTAAATATAAGGCTGTCACTAGGAGCTGTTTAGCTTAGCTTAGCATAAAGCCTGGAAATGTGAAAACAGCTAGCCTAGCTCTGTCCAAATGTGACAAAATCCATCTACCAGCACTTCTAAAGCTCATTAATTAATTTTCTTTAAATTTCATTTTGTATCTCACTTTGGGCAGAGTGTTTCCTCTGTTTCAAGTTTTGCCAAGCAAAACTAACTGGCTGATTGATTTGATTCATCTAAATTTTTATGTATTGCAATTGCATATTTTTATTGTTTGCACTGGTAGATGATTGACAAACATGTTAGTGCCTTTCTCCATAGGCTCCTGCACAGTGTGGTCTGACATTACTAGTGAAACTAGCAATAGTGGACACATTGTGGTTCTACAGGGGTTTACATGTTGATATCTTTCTTTAATGAGCACAAAGGCTGGCCGTTTTAGCCATTTTTTCCAGTTGTGTAGCTTATATTTACTGTACAGATAAGAGAGTAGTACATTATCGCATCTAGCTCTTGACAAGAAAACTAATAAGCATATTTCCCAAATTATTTATTAAAACCATACATCAGACCTGGTCACTTTTTCAAAATGTATTCCAGATTGCACTAAAAACGGTTTACAGTTGGTACATTTTTTCTCTGCACTTTTACAGCGATGTCCAACTACATTCAGTTTATTTACATGTAGTAGTTACCCTTTATGGTAGATACAGAGGCAGGGAAGCCTGGCGATGGTGTCTCCCTCCTCCAGCTCTTCTAAACAGATGGCACATTCCCCAGAGTCTCTGGACAGGATGTCCTCTGAAACAGACAATACGCACAGAGACAAAATGAGCAGAGAGCTGCCTCACACACCAAAATGTCTATCACATGATCAGGTCAGGCACTGAAGTCTGTATAACCATCTGTTCAACCTTTGGTATCAGAATCTCGGTCATCTTCTGTGCCCAGAGGATAACTGGTGTATTACTACAAGCGCAGAGAGGAAATGTGCACTGTCCAGTGGGAATAGGTTGTGAATTTTTTTTTTTGTTTTTTTTTTTTGTATGAAACAAGGAGAAAACATCTAGTCTCTGGTGTGATAGTCCTGGGATCAGGTAATAATGAAGTTTTCTTTTCTGTCTCATGTTTACTTGCATATTCAGCTGAGACAGGCCCTCTATCAATACCTGAAGCAAAGGAGACTTTGTCAAATGCATTTTGAATATATTTGCACGAGTTAGGTAGAAGACAAAACAATGAACGTATATGCTTGCACATCTATACGCCTGTAAAAAGCTAGGATACACTGTACAATATGTGAGCTTGACTTGTATATTTATCACTAACATGCATGTTGCTGTAGGGTGTGTACAAGCTATGTGCGCATGGGTCGACATGTGAATTTACACTTCAAGATGAGAAGCAAGTTACACTTCCTTATATAAATGCACAACTGTCAAGCCCAGGAAAACTGTACATGCACATAGTGTGCGTAGAAAGTGAGTGTTGTATGTCTACAGAGAGGATGTGTTTGCCTTTCCTGTGTGTGCACATGTAGGCCCTTTGTGCACTAGACAGGTGATCGCTCTGTGTTCAAGTGTAGTCGCATCGGCTTTGATCTTTTTATGAACTGTGTAACATCATAGCGCAGTTGTATTTCTGTGGCTAATAAGTTCTTCATAAACACTACTAGTCTATCTAAGAGTCATTTAATGCAAGATTGAACATTAATTCATAATGAACCTCATGACTGAATTGTAAAAACTATATTGCATAACAGTTTGACTGAGGCAGGGATGATAGAAAAGTACATGTAGATAGTACATGGACATACAGTAGAACGTTTTTGCTGACATTTGTTCGATTGTTTTGTTGGTTGGTGTGTTCACAGCATAACTCAAAAAGTAATACATGGATTTGGATGAAGTAGGTAAGGTATGGCCCATGGAACACTCCATTAGATTTTGGCACTGATCCAGATCATCATCATCCAGATCCAGGAAATGTATTAAACCTTTGACCTTTGTGAGATAGGGCCAATTTCATTATTTTGGCTTCTAACTCCATACAAATGCCTACAATGCTTAGACAATACTTACACAGTAACTTCCACATAAGATCTATCACGCACCAAAGTCTGATCTGGGTCCAGGTCATATTCTGGAACTGCTGATCCAGAATGTTCACATTTATTGGGCTCATGGATAACTCACTACTGTGACACAACAAATAATGCTACAGACTTGCAAGTAAGATCAAATTCTAACTGAGACTCTGTGGACTCAGTAGGGTGTCAACAGATTTGATGTACTGCCAAAAGGTACTGAGCTACATCCTGAAGAAAATAGCCATTACTGAAATATAGTTTTTCTTGAATAACTTTCAAAATAATAATGATATGAATGTGATTCCAAGTGCCAGAGGTGGGTTTTCATGGTCAAGAAATGATATTATGAGGGTCAGGCTATCATGGGAATATTGCTTTTAGCTGGAATGGCATTATGGGAAAACCTCTGCCTCGGCAGAGGTTTGTGCTCTCTGAGTGCCGTCTAGTACTGCATTTAAATATAGTTTGGGGTACTTGTACTTGATTACTTCCATTCTTTGCTACTCTATACCTCTACTCCATTTTGTTTACAGATGCAAATATTGTACATTCTACTCAATTACATTTATTTGACTGCTGGACTTTAATAGTTACCTTACAGATTAAGATTTTATATTAAAAACCCATGATGATTCTTATAAAATGTTGCATTAATAGTGACTAAACTAAAGTTATTATAAATAGGTCCATATCAACTAAACCATTAATATGTAGGTTACAAAGCGATAATAACATATTTATACATGGAGGACAGGACTGTCTATAGCACCAAACAATGTTTACATGGAGGTAAATAAACAAATTGTATTAACTTTTCTGCAACTTCTTGATTTTTGAGGTTTTCTGTGAAATTCTGGATATGTTTACCCCTACAAGCTTCTGGCAATGCTTCAAATGAAATAATCGGGGGGAAAATCTACCTTTCGGACTTTGGACTCACACTAAGTACTTAAGATGAGGGATTTTCAGAAAACAGTGATTTGCTTAAAAGCACCACAAGACAAAACGGTTGAAAGTGACAGTAATGTTTAATAACTCTGAGAAAAGCCAGTTTCCTGCATAACTGCATTACTTGAAGTACATTTTACTGATGATACAAATATTATACTTTGAAAACAGAAAGTTAATGATCTGCACACAGGTTAAACTTACACCAGGCTGAAAAGTAGAAACTGACTGCTCTCTCTGGTTGAACGTTTCAGGCCTGTTTATACTCTTAACATTGGGTGTGGTCAGAAGTGCACACTGTTGCACCTGTAATCATATGGGGATCTTAGATTACACCCGTAAATCACTGCACCAAGGTGAGAAATTAAACAAATGGAGGTATGCAAGATTTTCTGAGGGTGCAGAGCTATTCTTTCAGTTACATCTTGAATGCAGGAATGTTTTATACTATAGGCCTACAGTGGTTTCACATTGTTGTATTGCTACTTGTACTTTAGAAACAATCCAAATACTTCTTCCACCACTTGACAAAGTATTTTGGTTTTAATCTTCTGAACTGCCATTATTCCCCTTTGTGATTGTTCAATCACACCTGTTGATTTTTGTGCCTATTTTTAGCAACAATGAAGGAATACAGCTGAGGAATTAATGGTGTTATAGGTCGCTATTGCCAGAAACCAGTAAGATATATCAACATTTAGAATCTCCCACGGTCCCATATACTTTAACCCCCCACTCTCTTACTGTTGTAGGTAAGCCGTGTCTTGCTGAAACACACAAGCAGGTGCTTCTCTATTTCATCTGATGCCATAAACCTGGAGCAAACAGGACAGTGGAAGCCTGGGAGGAAAACACAAACACAAGAACATGAGAAACCAGATGCGCCAATGTCTTTCTCAAAACAGCTTTTTGATATGTACACAAGAGAGGGTGTGGGTCTCTTAGCTTGAGTTTGATCCTCTATAGGTCTATGTGACCTAAGACCTGCATGCATCCAGCAGCTTTCTATCTGCTGTAAACAATGTGTTACAAACTTCTCTAATAAAACCTTCTTCTTCTCAGATGCATGTTTTGGTCTGTTTAGGTGTCATCACTTGCTCCATGTTGCATAATATTTACAGTATTTCACCATACTTGTGAATTTAATTAATTAATTAATTCATACACACAGATTCCTGGCCTGTACATCCTCTCAGCAGCACAAAGACTACTAGAGTAGGGGCTGCTTGCCTTGAGATAAGCTAACTTCCTGCTCACCTTAAAACACCCCAGTCAATAAAATGAGAACTAACCCATCATATACTGTACAGGCAGTCAGTAATTATCTGTATGTGTGCTGTGTGCCTCATGTTGGGTTTTCAGGTGAGGTGATGAAATGTGATAGGTCTGTGGACGCATCGTTCTGCAGAGTCACAGTCATATGGATCTAATGACCAAAGGTCACTGAGGTTGTTGATGAGGTTATTACCTATGCCAGTAATCAGAAGGAAGGGGAACCAAAATCCAGCTGTAGTTTTCCTGACCTTATATGTAATATTCGGATTCAGGAGTTTTTGTTTTCTGGTGACATGAATGTTAGATGGTTGTAATGGTCCTGTTATGTTTGTTTGACCCTATATTGTTGTGGTCTGGGCCGGCAATTGAGAAACAGCTGAGCTTGTGGATTCAGGAAGTTTGCACGCATGTGTTTGTGTGTTAGGCACTGTGTAACCAGCAGGAAGCTCTTATCTGTTGACCTATATTATGCGCTCTTCTTTCTCAGACAGAGTGAAAAACAAGACAGTTTTGCAAGGCACCAGAGAAGCAGAAGAAGTAAGGTTTCAAAAAATGTAATTCAGTATAGCAGAACCACCTGTGGCCACAGCAAAAAATGCAGAAGTGCTAAACAAAGGACTCACTCATCAGACAACTAAGCCTACCATATGCCAGGAATCACATGTAAAATGGAAAAATACAAAGCAGTTTTGACAGCAGCTGTTATGTATACTAATTATGAGATGCTGTACGAATGTCATAAACGTGAACATGAACATGACAAGTTGACTATAAACTCATTCTGGGTGCTGTGGATGCAAATAGAAGGATCTGAAATATTACAGTAAATATGTAAGAAAAAAGACCTTCCAGTCTTTCCAGCGGTCTTTCCAGATATTTGATGGGTTTAGAATTCCGAATCTCTGGTAAGCCATGCGTTATAATCTTACCTCCTAGCAGGTGAGGGGACAAATGAGCCGGTAGGGAACCAATAATCAGCCTGTGGCCCTCAGGGGGCAACTGGTTCTCATCGTCACCATCCGTTCCGTCCAAACTTTGATTCAGAGCGTGTGACCCTGACATGCTGCTGGTCGGTATATTAAGCCTGGAGCTGGTTGGCCCTCCACCCGTGTACCGGATCCGGGGGCCATCGGGTCCATTTGTGTACCTAAACCCTGCAGTCCTTTCCCGTCCGCTGGCGTTTCCAGATGGCAGATCAGAGCTGGAATAAGCCCGAGTTCTGCCGTCAAAGACCGAAGTACTCTGTTTGGCCCCCATGCTGGTTTAGGCTTACCTTCTGAGGTTCTGATACGCTTTAAAGTTTTTAGCCACGACCCATGGTTGCAATGAATACTGAAGATCTGCCACCAACAAAGGAAATAAAGTTTAACACATGAATAACAATACAGGTGAGGTAATCCCGCATCTCAAAGTTCACGTTGCACGCTCACTGACGCGTAACTTAAATTCAATATAATCGTGTTTTTTCTTGGCACAACCCTTCCCTTTTTATACAAGTGGGGGAAATGATCGAATTAAAATCTCTTCAGTTCCTTCACTTCAGACTAAGAGTTGACCCACATTCAAGTATGTTTTGTGCTCCACTGTTGCTGTCAGGAAAGAGAAATAAAAGCAGTGCTTGTCCTCCTCCCCCTATGAAGCAGCTCTGTCAAACCCGGTAAAGTCCACTAGAATAACATCAATTCACCTTCAAAGTAAAAGTACTCAAGTCTGGGGAAAAAGTAGACAAAAAGCCGCCGTCATGTAGAATAAACCGGTGTATCATTAAAGTAAGTGGTCAGTATATTATAATGTGTAATGAGAAGGCCTTTCTCACTTTCTTTTTGGATTTTATTGTGTCTTTCCTGTTCTACCTCCCTGATTCTGTAGTCACAGAAATACAGTATGTAGCACTGCCTGGTGCTTTTGATGGTATTTATTTCTACAAATCTAAATTACAAATCCTCAATGTTCTATTTATTTATAACATGTAAATACAAATACTGTTAATTCCTCCTGTGATATGTCAGTCAAAGAAACGTCACCATTGCAATGCCAGTTACTAGACAACCTATGTGCTTTTATTTTGAAGGCCAACCATAGCTCCTGTCTAGAACTCATTCACCCCTTTCCAGCTTGACGTAGCACTAAGTGGGCGCGTCAGATGGTGCGTGACGTCTACCCCGGTAACAGCAGTGGGCTGTCGGTTGAGCGTCAGGTCACCAGTCCGCTGTGTGATATGAAGAGCCCTCCATATTGGTCGCTTTGTGTTTCATTAACTTCAGGCCACTAAAAGAAAAACACACTGTACACCTGTGGAACACTCTGTTCGCACAGTTTATTGAACAATTCCACACACATGGGAGGACAAACAGAAGATACACTGTATGAGAAACATTCAAGTAGGCAATAAAAAGACACACTGTAACAGTTATAATAAGCTAAAGTAAGTAAGGATAAACCTCTGAAACAGTCTTGCATGTGGATCAAGTGGTTGCGAATGGTGGGGTTGAAGGCTGAAGCACAGCATGTGGCATACAACACTGTGAGATCAGATATAACAGGGAAGGCAGAGGGTTGTGGGTCAATATTTTCTCTTCCCTGTGATATTACTTGGGGGGGGTTGGGTGTGCACTTGTTAGGTTCATGGCTAAGAGAAACCATGAAAGAAGCAGATCAATTCAAAACAACACATGCAAAAGAGATTTTGGCTATAAAGCATCTCATCAGGAGCCGTGAATCACCAACAACCAGGAAGACTACAGGAGAGAAGAGCTAAGGGTGAGTCACCCAAACCAGGAAGGGCTAGGCTGCAGCATGGGCCTTTGTTGTGGTGTCATATGATAGCAACATTGACTGAAAATGTCCTCACATTTAACTCTTTGAGGTGTGCTGTCTTAGAAACATTAAGAGAAACACCTCCAAAAATATGATCCATGCTACTGTAAAGCTGCATACTTTGATTTCCACATGAGGAGTGAGTCTGTGAAATGCGTCTGACTGTAATCTATATGACTATTTTAACTAAAACAAGATGGGTTGAGAGCTTCCCCACCTGAATCTGCAGTACAGCTACCCTTCCTGAACCCTTATGTTCCCTCTGTCTTTCTCTCCACAAAGTGCAAGTTATAGCCTGCTGCTCTTTCTTACTAGCACACTCCTCCTTGCCTCCTTGCGTCACTCCAGTTACCTCACGTAACCACAAACTGTCAGTTTTCACCCATCATCTAGCTCTTGTGAAGCATATGTGTCAACAGGCAGAGAAAGTAGGTTATCTGTCACGTTCATCTGCAGCGCCACGGGGAAAGTGTGTATTGCAGTAACTTCTGACTGTACTTCTGCATAACAAAGCCAGCTGAGGCAGATGTAATATTGCTGTGCTTTGGAAGTTTAACTAACCAGATGGTGAATGATTATGATAATTGCATTGTAAAATGCCTACTGCTCACATAGCCCCAGTGTGTGTATGTGTGTGCTGGGTGGGGGTCATCAAAGTGCAACCCTGTGCACTCTTTGGGAAGCAAAGCCACTGAGACATTCAAGAAGATGGTTGTGCATTTTTAGCAAGTTGGCTGTAAGTATGTGTGTTTGGGCTGATGAGTTGATGCCCAGGGCTTCGGAGCAACTCTGCCCCAGCTGCAGGCCTCCTCTCTGGGCTCATCACTGCTGGCTGACCCCCATCTGCTGGTGGTCGGGCCCTGGTTCCCCCTCCATGTCAGTGTGGTAATGCTCAAAACTGTCATCTTCTATGTCTGGAAGACCCAGCAGCTAACAGAGAGGCAGGGAGAATGTTGCGTTAAAGACATTAGACATTAAAGTGTGTGTAAACAGCTCCAGTACAATTCCTTCCTGTTTGGTACAGAGGCAATTTAAGGATGCTAATCAGCAAAACACCTTCAGTGCCAGGTAGAACAGCTTATAGTCCTATTAATAATTAAGTTCAGTTCTTCGGTTCAGCCTACTGT